TGCTATTTGTATATTGTGCTATGTGTATATTGTACTATAGGTATATTGTGCTATAGGTATATTGTGCTATGTGTATTTTGTGATATGTGTATATTGCAATATGGGTTACATTGTGCTATGTGTACATTGTGCCATGGGTATATTGTGCTATGGGTACATTGTGCTATGGGTATTTTTTGCTATGGCTATTGCAGTATGTCGTCTTCTACTTGCAGTAAATAGTTGGTGACCTTGGGCTTGTCGTCTAGGAGACGATGTTTCTAGTGAATGCCGTTAGCACATATTCTTAGGATGTCATAACTGGGACAAGCCGACACCGACTTCAAAGTACGAAACCGTTTATTGACGTCTCATCACTTACATAAAAGTCCTGTCTGTGTCCTAATTTACAGCTTACACGCACTACAGTTATCAGACTCCAACATGCTGACTGCTCACGCATTCATTGACCAGAGTTCGGAGCCTTCACTTCCACATCGCCGCATAGATGGATCTGATTGTTACCACAGACTTCACACAGACTGGCCTGGCTGGACTTGGCTTTGATGGATGTTGTCGTCTGGTCTTCCTGTCTCAACAATCAGTCTCATGTTGTCATTTTCCCGACCACTCTAACGATCTTTCGCTCTGACGGTCAACACATACTCACACATACTAACTGATCAGACTGGGGTCTGATTTTATACGCAGTGTTCCAACTGGCAACACGTGGTTGTTCTAGGGTTCCACGTGGCGACCTGTGGTAGCTATCTTAGGGTTCCACGTGATAACTCGTGGTCGTAACCTATCTTGAAAACCTCGGTTAATCCGAGTATCTGGCTTCTCTCGGTATTATTTTTAGCTTGGGGCTTTCCACTCAACCTTCCCAATCAGGGTGAAAATATCCCCCATTACAGCTATACTGCGCTATAGCTATACTGTGCTCTGGGTACATTGTGCTATCGGTATAATGTGCTATGGGTACATTTGCTATGGGTATATTGTGCTATATGCACATTGTGTATATTAGGGTATATAGTGCTATATACAAAGTGTGCTATATATATATTATGCTATTTGTGTATTGTGCTGTATGTACATTGGATAATGTGTATTTGTGTTGTGTGTATTTTATGCTGTCAATGCCGAGGTATGCGCGCTTATCAGTGACAAGTCAGATGAGACAGATGTAGTTATCTTCACAGACGGGTCCGTTATACGAGGACACAAGAGTGCGTGGGCGTTTAAAGCTCCCTCTTCAGACAGAACAGTTCAAAACGCCAGTGGTGCCTTCCCCATGACTACCAGCAGCATGACGATGGAGGTGATGGCAGTGACACAAGCTTTCATGTGGCTAGAATTACAAGCTTATTCCGTCGTGGGTGCGCTGAGTGATTCTTTTAGAGTGAATTATCCCGAGGATAATAGTTTGTCATTGAAAAACTCTCCTGTGTGTGCAGTTACCTTCATATTCGTCCCAGGGTTTGCAGGCATTGTTGGTAATGAGAGAGATGTAGACTGGCAGGGGCTGCAATAATTGAAGACGATCGGCCCATGGATCAGGCATACATTGTCATTGCCCTTAGAGAGAAGGGGCGTTATGGGGATTTTGAAAGCAACATGTCCACATCCTTTCTAAGAATACGAGAATCGAGAGTCCAATTTGGCACAGCCAAGCATGAGAAGCACACCAGACGCACACGGAGCCTTATTAACCTACATAGGACTGGCACTATTACTTTCACGACGCTGATGAATGTGTTGAGGGGAATCTGAGCGCCTAAGGATGTGTCCGGAGTGCTGTGAAAATAATCTAACTTATAACTCATAACACAATCCTGAAAAATTAGCACACAAAATTATCCATTGAGCTCAGGCCAGGAGACATATGTGTGTGTGTATCTGTGTGTATGTTGTTGTTGTTGTTGTTGTTTTTGTTGATGATGTATAATTTCTTTAAACACAAACATAAATGAGTAATTTTAATGTTTTGAAAGAAGGCTATGACCAGAAGACAAAATATCTCACACGTCGGGGGGGGGGGGGGGGGGGGGAAAAAAAAAAAGGGGGGGGGGGGGGGGGGGTATGTTATGGTCATATATATATATATATAAGAAAAACAATGTGAACAACTTATGACAACCGGAAATACTTACGGAGCGGAAGACAGGGGTATATATCGAAAACCGATTCTTGACACTGCAGTCAGTACATATAGGCCTAAGGATATCAGCACGTAAACTGACATATGCTGTTGGATATCGAATATAGGAAGCTCATGATTACCTACACGTCTGTCAGAAAAAACATATGCTGCCGTTGCTGCTGATGATGATTATGATGAAGATGATTAAGATGATGATGTTAATGATGATGATAATGATAATTATGACAAAGAGGGTTGGGTGGGGATTTATTTCAGTTGGAAATTAGAAAATAACCATCTTGCATTTGATGGAGTAAATGGCTGACTGCTCCATAAATAAATATCATCTAACCGAAGATCACAGAGTCCCAAAAACCTGGCAAGAATAACCGTAAATCTCCCTCTAACGTTTTTCATGCTGCACTGTTATAAATTTTCAGTGATCTTTTGCTCATCAATTTATTCCTGGAGAAAGTACAGCCAGACTTGAATGTACCAGCAATAATCAGCTGCCGATGTCTCGCTCGTGCCTGACGTTCACCGTCAGAAATGGAACACTCACTAAAATAGATCAGATGTGTGGTTTTCCCGCCGAACGCGCGATTTACCCGTTTGCGACTTCCTGAAAAGATTTTTTTCTCTCGTGTCAGAAATCATCAAACGGTGTTTAAAGGAAACTGCATTATGTACGTTCAATTTCCTACATGATCAAAATCATTTGTTTGTTTCATATTTCATTTTATGTCTTGATAATGCGGAATTGTCAGATTGCATCAAAAATCACTTTCTTCGTTTGCATTGTTGGATGGTTGAAGAAACAAGTTTCCAGATATTATGCAAGTATTCTACACTCTACCGATCAAAACCTTACCAGTTTATTGTTATACAAATAAGCAGGTGATGAATATATTGTATTGGAATCATTCATAAGGGACAGCAGTTGGCAGCATAGACCGATAGTTGTGAGAGAACCACATGTACCTCGTTACGCTTACGGTGATGAGAATGTTGCTGCTAAAGTGTAAAGTGCAATCGTTGCCTCGACAAACTACCCATACTGAAAAATGACCTCTGAGGTATACAGTTCAACAGACACCTCGATAAGCCAAGTGTTGAGAATATCGTTGCTGAGGTGTACGATACAATAGGTGACGTGATCATTTAAACTGTGATAGTTTCGCCTTTGAAGTGTATGTATGGTGCAACAGACTATTCCATAATCTATTTTAGCGTATACAGCACAACAGCTGAAATCGACAGCCACTAGGTGTTGAATTTTCGGAATATTCTCGCCCCCATGATAAATACGGTTCAAAAATCTTGTTTTCACGCTTTAACAAATATCTCCAAAACTCATGACGGATCAAGACAAATTGTTTCCTGTGGCCTCAGATTTCCCATGTCCTAAACAGTTTTTTTTTTAATTTGCAGTTTTATTTGTGCTGTTGATTCCTTTAAGTGGCAAATATCTTTGATTGACTAATAATTTGTGTAGCCCTTACATGACATATACAGTAATTGACACACGCGGAGAGATTGTTTGGACATCAATTCACCTGTGCAGCGATGCGTATTGATTATTTTTGGTAGCCTATACAGCAAACAATGACATTAATCACAAAATTTACCACATCTCACTCGGAGGCGAGATTTCGTGGCCGTTCCTGGAGGGGAGAGGGAGAGGGTCTTATGTTGTAGGGGTGTTATCAAATGCCTTCCTTCCCACTCTATACACACCGTGGTGAAAACTGGCTCGCGTTCGTTCGAAGCTATCAATACACTAGCTCCCAGACGAAACTGTAGCTTTCTTGTCGCAATAGTCTTTAGAGTGGACCACTGTCGTTATATGGTGCTGTAGGTACATTGTGCTATGTGTATGTTGTGCTATGGATACATTCTGCTGTGTGTATATTGTGAAATGTGTGTATTGTGCGTATTTTTGAAATGTGTTGTTGTTGTGATTAGTTCCTAAGACTCTACGGTTAGTGAGTATTGAATCGGGGTTTTTTTTTATTTTTTTTATTTCTATGCGAACTAATGCGAAATCACACAGTCGAGTAAGATGTGGGGTGAGATTCTTGAGTTGTACCAAATCCGCATCTCACGGGTTACAAATGCTGGAGATGACCACCAGAGAGTGAAACGCTTATGACACCCATGCAATCTGATGTTGCCAAAAGTTTCACTTATTTAGTTAACTGTAAGCATGCTGGTTGTTTGCTGTGAATTTGGTGTCTGTTTTTTTTTTCCATACAACAAACAAAAACGAAAAATAAAACTAAATGTTTGTTAACATTAAAGAAGAAATTGGTTAGCTCGCCGTTAGTCTCCCCAGACCCGGCGCATATACACACTAGCTCACTTCTGATTGGTAGTTCCTGAGCCCCGTAACCTTCGCACGCGGTTGTGGGTGTTCCGCAATGTCGTTGATATCGCATGTTGTATATTTCAGCACGCACGCACATGGAGAGACTGGGTCTAACACAACCCACCACCCCCTTTCCCAAAGAGTGCTGCAACCTGTGTAACAGGTATTCTCTTTCTCGGAATGAAAACGTAAATGCAAGACATTACAGAAACCAAACAACAGAGCGGGACACATCTGAAACCTTCAGGATAGTCGACCAGCCCAAAGAAGAGTGACATACTCTATTTAGGGAGACAAACGTTGAAGTTACCGAAGAATTCTTACAAGGATAGGATTATTAAAAGGTTGCATGGCCAAATGTCAACAACTGACACCAAACGGTTACCGAGTTACATCACTGTAAAGTTTGACACGAGTTCTGGAACGGACTTAGTCAGCAGACTTACGTGTTTCTTCATAGAGGTGTTAGCTTCCATTAACGCATATTCTTTCTTCATAGGCTCACAGATGAATAATTCCCAGGAGCAATCAGCCTCAGTGGCCGGAAACGAGACATTTGGGGACAACAGCAGTCTGGTGTATGAAATCTACGAGTACGATTATGAGGAATCGCATTACCTGCCCTTGTCAGAGGCGCTGCCTGTTACCTTGACCTACTCGCTGACCCTGATTCTAGGTGTCATCGGCAACTTTCTAGTGATATTTTCTGTTGCCTACTACCGTCGGATGAGAACTACCACCAATGTGTTTCTATTCAGCCTGGCATCGGCGGACCTTCTTCTGGTGCTCATCTGTGTACCTGTCAAGGTAAGCTCATTGTTAGTCCTCTCTCTCCCAGGACAGCTATAGGGTTTGTGATTAATGCAACATTCCTCTCTGGAGGGAGAGGGAAGGTGAGGTTGCAGGCGCACCACCATAGAGAATACATGAGGGGTCTAAACCCCGTCCACTTTCCAAGAAAATTATTTTACTGACGGCAAGCTGAAGGAGTTTACGCTTTTGTTAAATTTTGCAATAATGGTGATTATTATCATGTGCTGAATAGGAAACACGATTATATTTAAAATAATGTGGACTGTATACAGTAATGTAGTCTATGGGGTTCAAGCTTTAGGTGACCCTCTGGACATGCGTCATTGCATTCTGGGAGAGACCCTAACATTTGGGTAGAGGGTGGGTGGTGGGTGGGGGAGGAAGGGGGGGGGGGATGTTCAACAACCGCTCTGTGGAGTCTCTTATCTTTAACTTCTTCACTAGCAGACAGTAATTGCATCAAAACATTCAGCCAGCCTGTGTACATTAAAGCACCAGTCTTTGAGTCTCAGGGAACTAACAAAAAAAAAAACTGGCACAAAATGAGTTAAAATAGCCACTGCTATAGAACGGATTAACAAAACACAACAATAGAATATAAGAAGTTATTCCATGCAAATGATGTAGAGAATCATGACTACACGTCTGGTAAGTTGCATGGTAGTACAACAGAAACAATCACGTCATGTTTCTTGAACAATTCTTGGTGTATCACACTAGCCGTGTTGTCAGGTGTGTACCGCATGTGTGTCCAGGCTCTCTCCACACTGGTACTGGACCACTAAGATACGCACTTGCCAAGCTGTCTAGGGTTGTTATAATAGTGTCAATAGTCGCAAGCCGCAGCTTTAGATATCTCTAAACACAGGTCGACCGTCAAAGACTGTACACTGTATTCAGACACGACCCGTGGAAATAGCTTGCATCACGTTATATCATTAATACACAATACTATAGTCATTCTTCCTTCTTCCCATGTAACGATTCAAGACGCTGCACCGAAGAAGTCTTGCCACAGCCATGTTCCAATGGCTGCTATCTATATTAATAAAAATGTTAATTTTCCGATGTTGTTAGCTCTAAACTCGGAAACTACTGAACCGATTGCTTTAGAATTTTCACACAACGTTGCCTCTGACTCAAAGCGTGATTTTGTTTCATAAAATGGCACAAACCACAAACGACGTAGCTTCAGCAACGGTCAAAAAACATTATTTGTTTCGTTGCCCGCCAGGATTTATTTTTAATCGATTAGCCACCTTTGACTGTGTAACACCGATCTTCACATTATTGCTAAATATTTTCATTTCTACTAAATGCTTGAGTATTTAGAAGCGTAGTTAGTTGTAGGCATCTCTCATTTTAACCGGGTGATAGGGGTTCGATTCCCCGCTGGGTAATATATATTTTTTTTATTGGCTAACTGGGTGGCTGCCACGTTTTGTTGTGGTTTATAGCTAGGCTGCAATATCTACGCTTTTTCCCGTTTGATTTTGGGGTTTACAGCTAGCCTGCGATGGTGGCGACGTGATGCTCAATGTTCATGTCACGGGTAATACTCGTTTGCCCTTGAGAGGGCGGTTGGCACGTTGTGTTGTGGTTTACAGCTAGGCTGCGATATCTGACCTAAAGTCTTCAGTCTTCGATAGTAGAGTAGTAAGTTCCACCCTTCATGCGGATGACCGGTGTTCGATTCCCCACTGGGTGCTAATTTTTATTTTTACAGCTAGCCTGCGATGGCGGCGACGTGATGCTCATTGTTCATGTCACGGGTAATACTCGTTCGCCCTTGAGAGGGCGGTTGGCACGTTGTGTTGTGGTTTACAGCTAGGCTGCGATATCTGACCTAAAGTCTTCAGTCTTCTGTAGCAGAGTAGTAAGTTCCACCCTTCACGCTGATGACCGTTGTTCGATTCCCCGCTGGGTGCTAATTTTTATTTTTTCCTATAAGGACCGATTGGCACTTTGTGTTGTGGCTTACAGCTAAGTTGCGACACTTGCGCCTTTCGCCTAAAGACATCCGATTTCAGTTAAGTCCCAATTGGCCTCGCCCTGACGCTTCACTTGATCAAAAATTATTCGTCGATGACAGAAACTGTTAACTAAGACGGCTTACAGTCCAGTTTAATTTGGGTGGACACGGATGCCAAGGTCAGTTAAAAATCGTTCCTTCGGAGAGGGAGAGATGTCGGGTATGGGGTAGTTTTCTTCGCTATTCGTGAGTATACTGTACTTTTTACTGTGGGTTCTATCACTGGTTACGTGATAAAGTTTTTTTTTTTTTATGTCGGGGGCAACATTAAACTAAATAGTCCAGCATGCGGCACTAACTTTTAACACTGACCTGCACAGACTGTATTGACAGTTTTTGTTGTTGTTGTTGTTGTTGGTGGTGGTAGTGGTTGCAGTAGTACTTGTACTGGATGGGTGATGTGGTAGCTGTTACACTGGCCACATTTACATCTCAGTACAAGTTTATGCTACCTATTTAAGTCTGGGTGGACACGGATGCAAAGCTCAATTTAGTTACAATATTTAGTCACATGGTGACTTGCCCATCCTTCGGAGAGGATGATATGTTTGGGAAAATAGGGGGAGGTTGGTATGCCAGACACAGTTAGCTAAGAGAGCTTAAAATAATATTTTAAAGTTAGTTCTCATTTCTCAACTATTTCTTTTTTAATAATTTCGCCAGGTGATGATTTTTCAATCCTTCGGAGAGGGAGATATGATTGGTGGAGGATGGGGGGGGGGGGGGGCTCGGTGATTTGCTCGGTGATATGCTAGGCTATATGCTCGGTGATATGCTCGGCTATATGCTCGGTGATATGCTCGGTTATATGCTCGGTGATATGCTAGGCTATATGCTCGGCTTTATGCTCGGTGATATGCTCGGCTATATGCTCGGCCTTATGCTCGGTGATATGCTCGGTGATATGCTCAGTGATATGCTAGGCTGGTAATCTAGTAATCTGGTAATCCTAGTTTCAGCTTCATAGCAAACGGGTCACCCCACATATGCTCCGCTCCTGTGCCAACGAAAAACAAACGCAGCTCACAGTGTCACGCCATGCACTCAACTCAGAAGCTGGGCGACGAAACTACTATGCTAGGCTATATGCTCGGTGATATGCTCGGCTATATGCTCGGTGATATGCTAGGCTATATGCTCGGTGATATGCTCGGCTATATGCTCGGTGATATGCTAGGCTATATGCTCGGTGATATGCTAGGCTATATGCTCGGTGATATGCTAGGCTATATGCTCGGTGATATGCTAGGCTATATGCTCGGCTATATGCTCGGTGATATGCTCGGTGATATGCTCGACTATATACCCGGCTATATACTCGGCTATATGCTCGGCTATATGCTCGGCTATATTCTCGGCTATATGCTCGGCTATATGCTCGGTGATATGCTCGGCTATATGCTCGGCTATATGCTCGGCTATATTCTCGGCTATATGCTCGGCTATATGCTCGGTGATGTGCTCGGCTATATGCTCGGCTATATGCTCGGTGATATGCTCGCCTATATGCTCGGTGATATGCTCGGTGATATGCTCGGCTATATGCTCGGCTATATGCTCGGTGATATGCTCGGCTATATGCTCGGTGATATGCTCGGCTATATGCTCGGCTATATGCTCGGTGATATGCTCGGTGATATGCTCGGTGATATGCTCGGTGATATGCTCGGTGATATGCTCGGTGATTTGCTCGGTGATATGCTCGACTATATGCTCGGTGAAATGCTCGGTGATATGCTCGGCTATATGCTCGGTGATATGCTCGGTGATATGAAACCGGAAAATAGGTCTATCGTCTAATATACATATTACACACTCTCCTTATTTGTCAAAGTTTTAATCTTTACTCCAAGGGAATAAATTTATCTGCACACACATATATATATATATATATATATATATATATATATATATATATATATATATATATATATATATATATATATGTTTAAATTGCCTATACTTCCAAGGGTCATAACCCTTTATATATCCACCATATAATGCTCACACCTTATTCAACTCGCTTTATTTTCTAAGCCTCACCATTATGATTTCTTAACAATTATTTAACAGCTCGTTTAACACTGCTGATCGCTATTCTAGGCCAAAATCTTACGACTACGGAAATATAAAACAGAATATCTTATGTACTCAAACGATTCTACAACAGATTATCGTGTCATTTGCGTGCATTACCTGCTTAGAAATTCCCGTTACAAGTACGTCCCTGTTTCTGTGTAATACCTGAGTTTTGCCACAATGACAGAAACACACCACACATAATGCTACACTGGCCTCTCCTAAAGACGAAAGTATAAATGTAAACAGTAGAGCTGAAATAGCTAGTCAGCAGCAAAACCTATGTGAATGGCTCAGAGTTCGGTAATAACTAACGTCAGACAATTTTCAGCTTAGGAAACAGAGCTGCTAGAGAAGTCACTTAACGAGAAAAACATCCAAGATCGAAAACTTGCAACCAGGCAAAGTTTGGTTTTCAAAATTGTATCCAAGGAATATAATTCAAGGCGGTATTTCTAGCAGATGAACACAACGCCTATTAACCACTATATTATATTCTTATTGTATGAGTCGCGTATGGACGAAAGTCATATGTATAAACTCGAGAAATACAGTGACCTCTGGCTGGTCTGATGGGAGAAGAAGCGTACCCAGTAAGAATCTTCGCCGTCGAGGTAGGCGCTAGAAGTCTGATTTCCACTTCTATGTACAATGTGATAAAGCAGCTGGGTCTGCGAGGAATCGAGCGCAAACGATCACTAAAACAACTTGACGAAGCTGCTGAGAGGGCTTTGAAATGGCTCTGGACTAACAGAACGTCGTGGGGGACGGGCCTCGGTAGGCTGGTTCGGGTATCTAGTGGAAAAGAAAATCTTATCTCTTAAGTTCATCGTGACCGAATTGTCTGCCGGTGTCATTCTGCCTATTGTCAACAAAGTCTAACATGTGTCTGATGAACCAACCGTAAGGTTGCCACTTGGTCGTCAAGGTGTTCTGACTGGTCTAATAGGCTACCGCAGAGACTATGTAAATAAACTTCGAATCTCACAGTACCTGTTGCATAGTCACCATGTTCGTCGTGTCCCTGTCCAAGAACATCCGGTAATACGTGCAGCAGGAGCAGATCAAGCGTGAGCTTCGTGATCTCAGGTGGGTCCACCCTCTGAAATTATCTAGTAGCTCGTGGACCGAAACAACTGTGGACGAGGGATCACTTCTACTGATGATTGGTAGACTCCTGCTGTACATGCTCCCCTGTGGAGTTTCTTCTTAATCTTATTATAATGGTTTTCTTTATCAGATCTTCATGATGTCTGCTCAAATCCCTGTTAATGTCTATTCTTTTGTTTTTCTTTTTCAAGGAATATAATCTATTTGGATGTTTTTAGTCAATCTAAATTGACTGTTAGTTTATATTTTTAATTCTATTTGCATTCAGGAAATATAACCTCCAGATACCTTTGTAGCAGTGCTGGATACTGCCTGAGAAACATCCATGTTCATAGACTTCTAGAGTAATTTAATTTCGGTGACAACAATATCTACAAGCCGTCGCAGTATAGTGGTAAGCACGTTCAACTCCCTTCCCGTGGTCATCAGTTCGAATGATGTTCTAGACGGGCATATTTTAAAATAGTCTACGTAATAGGCTTTAAAATTTTTAATCAAGTCAGAGTAAGTAGAGCAGAACTTCTCGACGCCTTCTGTGACCATTCGGTTTTTTAATAAATTGTTCCTGAGATAAACGTCTCTGTTTGCAAATAAAACATCTGTTGCCGGATAGCCAGTCCTCAAATCACCAATACTTCATTTTCATTCAGGGGATGAGGCTTAAGGGAAAAAAGCATATTTTGCTGTGTGCACATACCTGTTTAAATATCAGTGTCATTTCATCATGTTCATGGACGTTACTCCTGCCCAACCGCCAAGCTTTTTTTAGGCGCTGCTAGACTACTTTGATTTTGTCGCAACAAAACTGTTTTGATTCAGTTCACGGGCCATATTGTCACTTAAAGGGTGTTTTGAAGCTACCTCTGGCGCACAATTAACACTCTAAGAATTCTGGAAGATTTACGACGGCATCCTCCATTGTTTAAGCATCCTTGACAAAGTTTGAGTGCCATTTATGTACAGGACTGTAAACCCGACCTGGAGAGAACTGGGGTAAACCTGAAGCAGACGACAACACACTGCTGGCTTTGACATGGGTCTGTTGTGATTATAGTATGTGTCTCTGGGCAAACATGTGAGCCTGGCTTTTGAAAGTGCTGATATGTAGAAAATATTGAAGGATCACTAGTAGAAGCCTACCACTGAAGAACCGGAACATTTTCATAGGTAAAGGAAAATCGTTCTCAGACACTTTTATTTCTTTAGTCAAATTTGTTTCGTACAGCTAAAGATTAATTACATTTTCGTTGATAAAATTATACGTTTATTGCCATCGTTTAGTTTTGCATTATGTATATATATATACATATATTGTTTCTCGAATTTTTTTTTTACTGTATAGTTTTCTTCAAATAATGGCGGCTGTTTTATAAATTCTCTGTCTGCTTGTAAACAAGATGCAAAGCTACACAAAAAATAAACACAAAGCACCTTAGCCTAACATGCTTCCTGGTGTGTTTTTGTTTAATTGCTTCCGTTGCTTCTTGTCTGAAAGAGTTTTACTGAATTTCTCTGTTTAATGACTCTCCATTTCCTGCTAACTTGTGTCAGTTACTGGTAGCTTGGGTCTGTTTTAAACCTCTTCCCAAAGATCTGTTGTCATTAGTGTCTTTACTTCAGAACGTTTGATTTTGTACATGTCTGTCTGTCAGTCTGTATGTCAATCTATCTATCTATCTATCTATCTATCTATCTATCTATCTATCTATCTATCTATCTATCTATCTATCTATCTATCTATCTATCTATCTATCTATCTATCTATCTATCTATCTATCTATCTATCTATCTATCTATCTATCTATCTATCTATCTATCTATCTATCTATCTATCTATCTATCTATCTATCTATCTATCTATCTATCTATCTATCTATCTATCTATCTATCTATCTATCTATCTATCTATCTATCTATCTATCTATCTATCTATCTATCTATCTATCTATCTATCTATCTATCTATCTATCTATCTGTCTGTCTGTCTGTCTGTCTGTCTGTCTGTCTGTCTGTCTGTCTGTCTGTCTGTCTGTCTGTCTGTCTGTCTGTCTGTCTGTCTGTCTGTCTGTCTGTCTGTCTGTCTGTCTGTCTGTCTGTCTGTCTGTCTGTCTGTCTGTCTGTCTGTCTGTCTGTCTGTCTGTCTGTCTGTCTGTCTGTCTGTCTGTCTGTCTGTCTGTCTGTCTGTCTGTCTGTCTGTCTGTCTGTCTGTCTGTCTGTCTGTCTGTCTGTCTGTCTGTCTGTCTGTCTGTCTGTCTGTCTGTCTATCTATCTATCTATCTATCTATCTATCTATCTATCTATCTATCTATCTATCTATCTATGTGTGTGGGTGATGGTGTATGTTAGGGGCGTGTCCATGTATGCTTGTTAGTGTATGTATGGTTGGTAGTGTGTGTATGTGTTGTTTTCTTTTGTTTTTTGTGACTGTGTTTGAAACAGTTCTTGTGCCCGACTCTCTAGCGTAATTGGCTAAACCGGGCTGCGCGGTGACCGGGTAAAGAACTCCTTGTGGTCCGGGCTCGCTCCTGGGGTAGGCAGAAAAGACACATTTCTCACAGATTTATGGTATTTATCATAGAATCAAAGCCGAAGGGTTGCGATATCCATAATACCGAGCCTAAGGGTTAACAACTCGTGGCTTCTGGATACATAAAAAAAAAAACGTTCTTGTGTATATAGGGGTGTATCTGCAGAAGTGGGGCTGTATGAGTATCTGAGGGTGGCGAATACTATATAGTTCTTTGTCCATGACTAGATGCTTGTTTATGTATAGGTGGTTGTCTATGATTATGTTTGTATGTATGTATAAGATTTTATGGGTATATAACAGTGTTCAAAGATGTGTGGGTGTATGTGTGTGTATATGGTATGGCGCTTGTATGTGTATATGCAGTTGCTTATGTATGCGTGTATGGACAGGAGTGGTGTTATTAATGCTTTGCGAGTTTCATATACCAAAGAAGATCACGACAACAAGCTGGACTGAGTATCATGCTTATAGGGTACCGCCCCATAGGCATTGACGAGGTCCAACCATATCACATGCAATCAATTCAGTTCTCTCTGTCTTAGACTTTCTAGATACTATAACCGGCCAGAGTGACAAGTTAACGATTGATTCACCGGACAGATGTTAGATTGACATTTGGCAGAGAGAAACTGGCAGACATGTATCGGATACTTTTGCTTTTAAGCAATAAGACGTTTTCGTCCACTAGGGACTCAGACCAGTCTACTGAGACCCATACCCCACGACGTTCCGTTGCGTCCGGAGCCAGCTCGAAGCTCTCTCAGCAGCTGTTTTTAGTGACCTTTACGCTCATTTCCTTGTAATCCAGCTGTTTTAGCACATTGTACATGGAAGTGGAGATAAGAACTCTTGAACCTTCCTTGACGGCGAAGATTTTTAATGCGTCTCTCCTCAGATCGGCACGGTCAGCTCAATCAGGATGAGCTTGCGTTTTTCCGCAAAGTGTAGGCCTATGTCAGGTCTTAGGCCGGTTTTCCGGATTTACTGTGGGTACCTCTCGAAACCAGGCAGGTTGACAGCCAGTAACCAGTCCCTCGCAGTCAAGTATCGATGGAGCATATGCGACTTTGTTGATTTTACC